GAAGCATTAATCAGATGAGGAGCATTATTATTGTTTAAATTTAAAGGAGACAGCATTTAAAAAATAAGTTAGGACACCCCTGTGATCATTCAAGTGTGAATGGGACAGTGGCTCAACAGAGCCAAAGACAAGTGCTCTAACATAAGTTGCTTACAACCTGTATTGCAGTGATTCACCTTGCAGTTTCATCACTGAGGATGACATCTGTTTGGAAATAAAAATATTTTTTTGCCGTTTTTTGGGATGTCTTCACAATTACATTCAACTGCTGCTATAATTGGCAATTGCAACTCAATATTTAAAACCAATTTCATACACTTCTCATAGTCCTAATAGTATATGTAATAGCACAGCATTAGCCATCTCTTGTCATTAACTCCTGTTTACACTGTATACATTCACTATTTTTGAATAACTACTGTCAACTTTCTGATTCATCACAGTCATATAAGACAACCAGCTGCCAAAAATGTCATGACCAAATCTATCCTTATGCAACTTTTTGGAAGTGTGCCTCTTCTGTGCTACTCTGCACTGGAACAACCTGCGCCACTCACATTTTCTCTGATGAACTACCACTGCACTCACCTTGTGAATCTGAGGCCCCCACCTCCCCTCTGCTGCTGAGGCCAAGCAACCCTCATTTTGTGTATAGCCACTATAAAGAAGTCTCAAAACAGTAGTAGAGGTGCTATGCTCACCTGGCCTTCCTCTGGCTCTCTCTCTTCCATCTCACCTCAAATTCTGGTATCTATTGTCACCGAGGTAGACAGCAGACTCCCCAGTAGCCTCTTGCTGCTCAGATTTACCATACATTTAAACCTTTACTCACCTACTTCCCTTGCGGGTAAAGAAGGCAAAGCTTCCTGAAAGACTCCAGAAGTTCATCAACACAACCAGTAGCTATCCTGCAGGTGGAGATTTGGCACCAATACACAAATGATACTTAAGTGCAAAAATGCCTTTAAGGAAGTAGGAAAAAAAAAACCCCTACAATTACAAGCTTTACCAGGAATGTATCCCAGAGGGAACAAAACAAAAGCACTGTGCCCTCAGTAACTGGATTGTTGATAAAGGACCCGAGGGGAAAAAAATAAATCTAGTGACATTCAAGGCTTGCTTGCACATGCAAAAAAATTTGCTGTTTCTCTCTTGCTCCTATTCCTAGAAAAATGTTTCTCCTATGTTGTGCAAGATATCTTCCTCCACACCCATCCAGCCAGATTACGGGATCAGACTACTTTCTCCCTCCTGCATTCCCAGCTCTGCCCCCTGCCCCCCACCCATCCAGACTGTCTTCCAAAAGCATTGCTGCTGTACAACCACCATGGAGTATTCACACATTGCTCCTGCACTCAACCACCAGGGAACTTTCTTCCAAGCTCATTCTGGGATGACCCCCAGCTGCTGCAGTAGCAGCACTCCTCCCTCTTGTGAATAACGTGCAGCTGTCTATAAGTTGACAATGAACAGAATCACAGAAATTCTCCACTACTGCTACTCCTTACTCAGTTATTCTAGATGTACCTGACATACATCACATGCTTTGTCTCCAATAGTTATGAACCCCTTTAAGAGTTCACATCTTCTAACTTCTTACAGAATATGCCTGACATGTACATATATATATGTGACATTAGAAACTAGGAAGGATTTGGTTTGGTTTTTAGAAATTAGATTTATTATTTTTATTATTATTACTATTCTAGAGAAAGCTTAGAATGGCCTTCCAGCTTTGTCTTACAATGGGGCAAAAGTTCTTGTTCTACAATCTCTCTTTTGCAAGGAACTACAGTAATATTTTATAGCCATTTTAGAAATAGACTGAGGACTTTGACAAGATCACTCTTTCCAGTCACTGCATTGTCATCTTAAATTATATTGCTCTCCATTAAATTGTTCATTATTGGAAGATTCATATCAAACAGCTTAGTACCTGAAATTGTCCGGTATAAATTCCGTTTTTATGGGCTTCAAGTCTGAAATTTATTTCTGAATGAGAATGGAAACAGTGATAAAACAATTCCTACAAGTTATACTACCGTGACATAAACGCAGTACTAAAACTAAGCACAATGGCCTCACACAATCAGGTTTAATTTTTGAGCATAGATTTGAATTACTAGCTTTATCCTTATCTTAGCAGGTATGCAAATACAATTCTCTGCTCATATTATGATTGGTATCAATAGAAAAAGTTAAAATCTAGTGTTAGTTAAGTCAGCTTTCACCAGAACTCATTTATAGCCACTTTGAAGATGATTGTGAGGGTATTTTGCTGTGTTAGTCAAACACCTGTTAGTCCCCATCATCACAAAGGCCATAATGTGTCAAAACAGTTTATTTCTTATACTGTCCATTTTCTATGGGAAAACCATTGAACTATTTCATTCTGATCTATTATAAATGCAGAACCAGACATTCTAGAAAGCAGTTGCTGGCAATTTGGCAAACCAATCTGGCTATAGCTAAGCTTTAAAATAAAGCAAAAAGTATGTATATTAGAGAGAACATGAGTAGAAAATTCTTGTTTTACCAAAAATAATAGCACTGAACATTCTAATGCCTCTCCTGACCACTATGTATGCAGCAATTTAACTAAGAGTGAAAGCATTCTTCACATTTTCCTACAAATACAAGAAAGATAACAAACCTTGAGCCAGGAGGGTGACAAGAGTTCTTGCTGTACTGGAGCTGTTTACAGGCAGTCTCCTGTATATTTAGTGCTTTAATTCACATGCAGAAGTTTACCGTCTTATTTAATATAAACGGACATTGTGGGCTAAATCATTGCTTTTCCCAATTCCACTAGAAATTTAACTTGCATGTAATTTATTCTAGTAAGTGATCTTTATTTTCTTGCTAGTCCTTTTCTCTTTCCCTGTTTTTTCCTTTTGCAGTTATGAACAGACCACATAACTCAAACTTTTAAGGGTTGAGCAAGATGCACCAAAACAACTTAATTTTAACTGCTGTATAGCACATGGGTTAATTTTCAATTAGGATTTCTGTTAATTGGTTGCATCTTACCTGCAGGTCAGAAAAAGCTATCTTTGCCATTGAACAGACAAAGTACCAAGTGTAGCCTTGTGCTGACATATGCAGTTAGCCCAAGGTCAGTCAATGATAAGGCAATAGTGAAAAGTGACAACCAAGGGGAATTGCATTGTTTCTGATGCATTTGCCTCCTTTAAACCTAAAAAAACAAAGGCCGGCCTTCTGCCATGGTTTAGGAATGGTCCTCCCAAATTCAGTGCCCCCACTGAGACTCTCCCAAGCCAGATGCCACTTCCTCACTCTCCTCAATTCCCCTCTTCCTTCACACACCAGGGATGGAGTTGAAAATTGGAGGCACAAAAGGTTAAAATCACAGGTTGAGATAAGAACAGCTTACTGGAAACAGCAAAGAAAAGAACAGTAACAGCAACAATACTAATGACAAAAGTGTACCCAGTGGGTGATTTACACACAAAATGCTCACCAAGCCTGAGATAAGTAAACAATGAGGGATGAACCCTAAGCCCACCACTGCAAAGGAACATGCTTCTCCTTGGAGGAGACAAGAGTCCCTTCTCCCCAAGCCTGTGACCCTGGCCATGAGGTAAGATGGTACTGAATAGTTTGGGTCTTGGACTTGCCCACACAGCTCCAGGCTCTGCCCCCTCACAGCTACTGCAAAACATTAACCCTGTCCTTGGCTGAAACTTGGGACATCCTCACAATTTTTTTTAATGTACCTTGAATTACCCATCTGTTACATCCCACAAAGGACAAATACTGCTTTCAGGGATCGCTCCAAACCTTGTGTTCAAGTGTGAAGCAGTCAGTCATTAAATACTGATGATACAAGTTTCCTTATGGCAGAGATGTGACACCTGGCACTTCCAACTGCCACTTCAAAACTAAAATACTTACATGGTTCCTGAAGGTGCTCTGCAGATCACCACCTGCCCACGAAGACTCTTGCTACATATGTCTGAATGTGTGACCATTCTAATTTTAAAAAAACATGTTCTAGAACTTGATACAGTGCCTTGAAGATTTCTCTGAGAATTTGACACGTAGAGAAAAAATATAGGTAAGCATGACATTTACAAAGCACTTTTGAAAAATCAAATGTTAAGTGAATCAGCAGGGTAGTGTGTTTCACTGCACTTTAGCCAAGTGGATCTTTTGTTAAGTGCTTCCAATGGAATTCTGGCACTGAGCGGAATCTCCTAATCCGGTTGGGACAACAGAAGAATTTTGTGCCAAAATTACTAGGTCAAGATATTGTGCAATTAGTTTTAAGGACCCAACTTTTGCCCACCTTTTAACCATTTACTGAAAGAGCTCTCCTTAAATAAGACTGTCCAGACAAGTGTCTTCTGATGCTCACGCCTAAGTTAAAATCTAAATTAAAAGGGTCATTTCAAGAGCTTCAAGTGTCTAGATAGGATTAGGCAACCAATCTCTTGGTGATCCACACAAAATTATTGGAGCATGTATATACACACACAGAGGAACAAGAAACTCATAAAGTGAAAAAATGCTTACAACTAGCACTTTGATGATTCTATGAAAGAGTTCAGATGGTTCACCTTCCTACAACCATAATCTCCAACAGATTTTCAACAGGGTCCATCAGAAAGCAAATCAGAAGTAATTTGCAGGATTACCAAACACATATCACTGGGTAACACTAAGGACTTCCCTTCTCATTGTCTACAGTTTCTGTTATAGCCCTCTGCCACCAAAAGCAGAGCATTGATTTAAATTTTCTAACAAAACTAAGTTCATGCTGCAGAGAACAGCCTCCTCTTCTGTGGGTGTAGCAAGCATATCAAAAAAGTGTAAGTGACATTTATATCAATGCAGGTCTTAACTCTTATTATAGCTAGCAGAGAGAGTTTTGGCAATCAAACTTCAATTTTCAAGTGTAGATATGCTTGGCTTATTTTTGGTTTTAATTAAAAAAGACAACTAGAGACTTCTTCCCAAATAATGAACAGAACGCTAGGTCAGACAACAGTCATTTATTTATTGACTTAAACAAGCAAAAGGTATCCTCAGACATAATGGCTACCACTTGACCAATACAAATCAATGCTACTGAAGAACAGGGAACATCTTTTCTTTCACCCCTCCCATCCCAGAAGTAACAATAGAAACACCAGGACCCCTAGAGAAAAGAGAAGGAGAAAAATCATAAAAGGTACTTAGAATGAGCTGCAGAGTTGAAACATGGACACTAAAAAATCATTAGCTAATCCACCACATCACCACTATTACCTCAAAACCAGCTTTCATTGTTCCACTTCCACCAGGTACCAAATATATAGCACTGTTTAACAGCGATTTCAATGTATTAACAACTGTCCTCAGCTGAAGAACAGCAATTACTATTTATATTAAATTTGAGGCTACAGATAGAAAGAAAGGTTTCCATAGACTACAGTGCACATTAATGAAAAGAGAGTAGGGAGAAACAAAGCTACTTTTAAATTACTGTACGTCTCTATCAAGCAATTTGTTCTGTACTGATAGCTCATTGAAGACACAATATCCTGTCAGAGTGTGGCAACTCTACTCACCCTGTGACAGTGTATTTGATGAATGTATCTAGGAAGAATTTATCTGTAAGTCTCCTAAACTGTAGGCCACTGAAAATCCCAGTCTGCTGCTCCTGTGTGTGTGGTTTTTAATCAGACATCAGCAAAGAAAAGCAAACACACTGCATGCAAAACAATTGTTACTAAATCATTTAGTGTGCCTTGTAACAGTCAAAGATGTGAGTACGGCATTCCTCAGATTAAGAGAAAACATTAGGAGTCTTTAGTTTTGCGGGCAAGGAGACCTTTTATTTTAATCCATTAAAAGAACCCAAAATAGTCAGCAGGTGGCCACATCTATCCATGTTTCATTAAAATCACATAAAACCTAAGTACAAAAGCACCACTGATTATTGCTCTAGAAAAACTGCATGAAAAATTCCAATACACACAGTAAAAACATCACCATATGCACAAGACATAATTTCTTAAAGCAAGTGTATGGAATGCTGATCCAATTTTACACATACCTTGCAATATTAAGTTGATATTTATATTACTTGGCAACAATGGGAATTTCTAAAAGCACTGTTATGAGAAGGGAAATGTTCATATACAGTTTAATACGTCAACTATCATAGTCCTAAAAAAATTAGCATTTACAAAATACTTGATAAAAATATCTTTTAAAAGTTGTCCAAGAGGTACATAAAATCAACCCAAAATTTTCATGGTATTTCATTCATTCTTGTCACCTACAGATTCAGTTTTCTGAGCCTGTGGAGAAGAAAGAAAGAAACTAAATTACTATAGTGAAATGCCATTAGGTACCTAAATGCCCAAGCTATCCTCACTCCTTGGATTTCTTACTTGCAACAGCTCCAAACCTGTGTCCACAGGATATCTATGCAGCCGGAACAGTTACAGTCACACACTTTTCTCAACTCATGGGTCCCAGCTTTTCAAAAGCAATACAAGCCTTACCTGTCAGCTTCCATCGTTCACACTGAAAAGCACCACACTACCACCTGTTCCTATTCACTGCACACATGCTGAATGCTCTACCGCACCCTTAACTTTCACTGTTTCAATCTGCCCTTTTACTGACAGTGTGCTGGGTGGGGCACCTCTGGATGTTGAAACACTAACAGTTGAGCGAGATGAGAATCTGCAATAACATTATGGGCAATAAAAAGAAACATTATGAACATGCTAACAATGTCTGAAAGGCTGAATAATTAAAAAACACTGATTCAATCAGCAGGAGGTATGTGTGGAAAGTACCTCTTCAGCTTTATTTTCACCATTTTCAGATGGTGTAGTACCTTCCTTTGCAGCTTCTTGCTTTTCATCCTTCTTCCCTTTAGCACCTTTGCTGGCCTTTGTTCCAGGTTCCTTCTGACAGAAGATTAAAAACATGGCCATAGACATTGTATGAGTAGCCAGAACCCTGCATCTTTATCAAAACAACTTTCATATGAACTAAACAGCAAGTCTTGGCAAGTTTCATGTGCTGGACTGAAACAGAAAACCATCTAAAGGCTACCTGGAAACTGCAAACCCACATAAGTTACATAGAGACTCAACATTTCTAGAAAATGGTGGTGTCTCCTTCTTTAGTTTTTCTGAAAATTTTTTCAGGGATACAAAACCTTGCCAGACTACTTTGGTAGAGCTGTCCTATGAGGTATATACAGGATATCTGTTTGAACAAACACAATTACAGTATACTGAAAGCTTATTCAGCCAAACACCAACACCACACTGTTTGTGTAACTACAGCACTACACTTTCAATTAATATAAAATATTAAATTAGATTTTAAAAATTAAGCTTTTTTTTGTTGGTTGTCCTTTTGTTACTTTGATAACATCTGTGATGGTCATTCCATGTCAACAAAAGAACCATCCAACACGCTAGGGAGACAAACTGCTAAAAGTCCATCTGCAGCAACACAAAGCAGAGAATTTATCAAAAGGTACTATTTTAATAACCACAATTTCATTCTGAGATTTGTTCTTAATTTCTATGTACAGTCTACTATTTTTTTATAAATCCTTTCTCTGTGTACTTATTTATGTTTGTGATCTAAAGTTTAGCACAGACATAGGTTAAATATTTAAAGTGCAATGGGATAAAATTTAAATGGTATTGCATTTCTATTTTACTTTAGTATTTAAAGTAGTTCTGATAAACACTGGATTCTTTCATGCAACCATTTGCTCCAAATTCTCCATGCAAGTGGCAATAGTAGCTTTGAACACCTAATATCTGCCTTTCTTGGTTTACTACTCTTCGCCACTGATGCCCATACAGTAGTGGGACAGTGAGGAGAGAGCACCAGTAATCCCAGTTCCAGGGCAGCCTGAATTACTCCTTCGACCCTCAGCTTCAATGTTACACAGCAGCTTAATTTGGGAGCTTACAGCTGGTACGAGCACAGTTATAACTCTTCACCTACGAAAGAACAAACTAAGGAACTGACTTAGCAAATTAATAGCATGCAAGCTTTTAACAATAAAAAATATCTCAAATCTGCACCATCTTTCATTGTTTAATAGCAAGTTCAGAGTACACACTTGCTGTTTTCTGTTGTAGAGACCAAGATTAAGATACTCCTAAAAATGTGATCCAGTTAGGGTTTGGAAAAAAAAAAAAGGATTACTGTATTAAAAAGTTACTTACAGTAATATCTTAAAGGATTTGAGACACCCAAAATAAGCTTCAAATGCCTCTCACACATCTTAGACGGGGTCCATGACACCAAGCTCATCCCACAGGTATGTGAAGCTACAGAAGCTATAACATTCCCTCCTTTATTAATACTCTTTTTAAGAGGGGAGCAGGATGGACTCAGCAAGACTTTACTGGTAATTTTGTATGATAAATCACACAATGTTTAAAGTCAGAGTTTTACTTTCACATGTGGACTTTGTATCCTGGCACTTGCCCAACTGAGATGACAATAAAAGCACTTGAAAAAAATGGAATTGTGAGGAGTGCTAGACTCAGTGTCCAGCATGGGAGCTTTTTTCCCGCAATAAAGCAATTGCTATTATTCAACATTCCCCTTAGGCACAAATAAATCTACAGTTTCTGCAGTACATGATTTATATGCAAAAATACTGAAAAGGTATTTCAAACACTAATAAGATTTTAATTTGACTGTAACTGGCCCAGAAAACCCAAACCATTCAATTTAAATATATTTAATTTCACCTTTAATTATAATTGTGCATTCTCAGCAGCAGCCAGGCTTCAAGAACAGATAAGAGTTTCTCAGTACAAAATGAAGTACTGCACCTCTAGACAAGGAAACAGAATGATACAGAGTAATCTCAAATGCTTTTGTAGAAATTGCTAGGTCTCAGGAAGAGTTTACTCAACCAAGCCTGTACTTTTCAGGAAAGGTGTAGTAAAGGTAAAAATTCTTCTAAAACTAGCAATTCACTACAAACTAACATGGTCTGCATATCAAACAGGCAAGACATTTTCTTTGGGCCAGTAATGAGGCCAGGAAGGGGTGGAACAGAAAGAAAAGAATGATCTAATTTGCGGTTTTTTTCCAGGGAGGGGGGGCAGGGAGCTGCAGAAAGGGCAGGGAAGCCCATGCCTCAAAAAAAAAATGCTGTGAATTGAACTGTTTGCAACATAAAGAAGGAGTGTACTTGCTTACTATGAGCTAAAAAGATGGGAACTAACCAGAAAGAGTATTTACCTTTGTTGTTTTCCTTGGTTTGGGTTCAGGTTTTGGTGGAGCAGGTTTCTATAAAACATTTTTAGTTGCACAACATGTTAGACACACCACCAGAAGCCAGCCTCCTCCACACCCTGCTTCCCCCCCACCCTGCATCTTCCCTTACTTCCTGCTCAATAGTATACATCTAGAAAAAGTCTGAACAACCTTACTGCACAAATGCACCTCATCTCTGTACACACCTGTTTGCATTAGTTCACTCATCTAGAACTGAAAGTAATTTGGGGGTCACTCTACAAGTAAAACACGGAGATTAGAAGTACCTGTTACAAAACCCCCATCAGCTATATTGTAACAGAGAAGAGGAACTAAAACCAAGTACTAGCAGTGGCATCAAATTCAGTCCTTGAAACACAGCTCCTTCTCCTTCCCAGAGAAGTAGCTGCATTTTCACAACTAACATCAGCCTGCAAAATGAAATAAAGTCAATACTGCACCTAACAGACAGTTTTGCACTCAAGTGGGGAAATATATCTTTTGTCAGAACAACCTGAAAACCTGAAACCAAAAAAACAAAAGATAACTTCATTGCTAGAATTCTTAAATACCCCTCGACAAGAACAAAAATTGAATCAAGCAAAATGTAAAAAACTTGTTTGGTCTGAGAAACCATATGTGCTTAGAAAAGAATATACCAGGAGGTACTATACATACTTACAGCTGACAGTCTTGCTGATCGTCTTGTGGGCTACAGAAAAGAAAAGACAAAAAAGAATATTTTTACAGGCTTACAGGAAAAAGTATCCAAAGCAACATAGTATCAGCATTCCACAGGACAGCATAAAATATGCATCTATCAAAATATGTGTCTATTGCCAAACACAATTCACATCTCCCTCACCTTGGACAATCAAAATTTTAAAGGGACAGAGTGATATGAAAGTTAAAAATAAAAGTTGTGCAGGAATTATACCATCTAAACTGATGCTTTCTTGGGACTACCTAAAAACAGAAATCCGACAAAATTAAGGGAGTAAAAAGCTGTTATATTTATCAAAGGCCTTCAGGTACATTTCGGGCAGACAAATCCCAAAATGTACCTGACAGGGGCTACACCCAAAATGGATGACAGGTCAGGGGTTTCCATACTTTTGTAGGTCTGCTCCATTTGCATATTGGGGGTTAATCTTCCAATTACAGCTTCAGGTAATGAAGTCATTTACTCCAAGTTTGCTCCTTCCCAACTCAGTTTTGTTTACATTTCTCTGGGCCTGAGACAGTGAGGTGTCCTTGATTTCCAGGCCTGGAGAGGAATTGTTTTGTCTGACCAAAATGGGAAAGTAGCAGCTAACACCCTATACGGAGTTTAGGGCTATACACTAAAGAATTCCAGGATTACAAATATATGAAAAATATAAAAGCTAAAATTTTAAGGCATCAAAAGCTCCACAAAGTTAAATACCTCACACATACACACACCCCTTTTACAACTACTTCTGAGTCCCTTCCTGGTCTATATAAGGTTCACAAATCCAGCAAGCTTGACTACCTGTGCAAAGGACTGAACCTTTTTCATATAGACTTAGCATGATGCTTTTAGAATCTAGCAAATGTTACTTCTAATAGTGGGCACAAATCCCATCTGATTAACAGCTGAATAAAGTTAACATCCTTCTCTAGAGGACATCAGAGTGCTAAAATTTCAAAACATGAAACTAAGTCCTTCCACTTCCTCAGTTCTCCACACACTTGCTCAGAGAGTCCAGGTGCACAAAGACAGCTGCAAGATGAGAGAGAGAAATTATTTCTTCTATTTAAACACAAATCTCAAAAGGAAAGACTTGAGCCAGAGATTCTACTTTTCTCCAGCTTTATCACTTCAACATACTTTCCCTATTAGATTTCATTTCATCCTGCTTTTTGTCATAAATTTATTACTGAAGTCTTAAAAATACTTGTTAGTTTGTTCACATTTTTTTTAATTAATTAAAACAGATTCACCCAGTTACAGAGCATGGTTAACAAACTGAGCTGAAGTCTGGTCTACTCATAGAACTAGAATTACCCCTGTGGTCAAAATAAAGGGACAACTAAACTACAACAAATATCCAACATAACTCAGCTTAAAAAGAGAATGAAAAATACTTCTAATCACATATTAAGCATTTAAGTTGAGCTAAAAAAAACCATGGTTCGGCACATCCTGCAACAGGAAAAAGCTCTTGTTAATATCTGAAGAATGCTGTAATTTGTGTTCATTGGAGCCATTCAAGAATTCTTCGTGGAAAGCAGCAGTGAATAGTTCAAGTCTGCATCCAGCAAAATAGAAATCAAAAAATACCTAAAGATATTTTCAGCTATGAAATATTTATGCATCATGAACAGCAAAAAGGTAAACCTCTCTTTTCTTGGCAATTTAGCATATCAACCACTTAAGAAGCAGCCTACCATTATTTTACAACAGGATAAAAAAAAAACATTTCAGCTGGTCAGGTAATCAAAGAACCTCTAACTCAGATTTTACAAATCTGCTTTCTTAATCAATTCTTTCTACCCCTTTAACATTTAGGAACTGAAATGTTTTGCTAGCATCTACTTTTTAAAGGATAATATGTTGATTTAGATAAGTTATAATTCTCTCCCCTACCTCCTGTTCCGTAACTTGTTTGCCATAAGAAAGTCAGCATAAACCGTAAGGTCTTCAAAAATGCTTGACAGCTAAATAATTTTAATTCTTATTTGAGGTTTGTATGTATTTTTGTGTTATCTGATTTTAAGGAGGGAACTAGAGCCAAGTCAGTAAAGGTCACATTTTCATGTGCTTTGGGAACCTCTGTCCCCTCCAAACAGCTGCGCTAACCCAGAAATTAGCAGCTCACCCAAGAGTCTGTTTGACACTGGCCTGCTAGCAATCATCTATGGAAAGGATCTATGAAAGGAGCAGACAGAAAAACTCTGAGCACTCTCCCACTGCACCAGCTTCTGGCAATCTGAAGCTGCCAACTTTCCAACCTGCATATCATATACACATCATGTGTTTAAATAGCCCCCAAGGGTTATTTTCTACACAAATCTCTTTAATAATGTAGTACACATTTACGCTTTCAGTTTCCATAACATCTCATGTCAATGAGTTCCATAATGGGATTATGCACCATGTGGAAAACAAAAAGCAAAATCTTCACCCTCCACTGTCCCTCCTTTTAACTTCTTGCCTCTTACTTCCATTAGATTCCTCTTGTTTACAGGTTTCATGAAAAGTAATTCTCTGTCTTTCTTTTAGTTACTAATTGTTTTGTCACAACTCCATTATATAAAAGATGAAGAATCCTAGAAAAACTGTGTTGTTTGGTTTTTTAGTTTGGGTTGTTTACCCTTTTTTAAAGCTGCTGTACATCCTCTATTTGTCCCACTGTACTTGGTATCCTTTTAATTCTACCATGGCCTCTATAAGGAGAGCTTCACTTAGTACTCCCTTATTTGAGAGCAAAAAAATTAATCTTGTGGTACACTGACGCTTACTCTGTCCTCTGGCATTTTTTCCTATGTTCTAGTTACTTTCTGTTTAGAACTACTGACATTTTCTAGTAACTATTCACTGTGATTTTACAATCTCTCCCCTGATTAACAGCTTCGTGACCAACATTGGGTCTTCCCCTGCCTGTGTATTAATTTGCGTTTCTCCATAATTAATTTCTTTTGATGTTTTATCACTTGGTTATTTGTCAATGACATAACAGGCATTCTCAGCCTCTTAATTTTAGTAAACTTCAGCAAACTTTGTAAATTCTTTAGTACCTTTTCTCCTAGAGACCATTAACAAACACATTCAGCAGCAAAAGCCCAAAAAAAGAATCCAATACTCTACTGATAATCTCCTCCTTTATGAAAATTAACTTTCACTCCTCCATTCTCTTCTCATAAGTTTAAATGTCAGAAATTCTTAGAAAGATCTTCAATACTAGCCAGTTTCTTTATGATCCTTGGGGAACCTCACAAAAAAGTGCTTTTTACATGCAAGTAAACTATAGCGCATACGGTCTGTTTACTTGCTACTTTCCTGATCAAATGTGCTCCAAGATTTACAAACAGAGCAATTAAATATTCTCCCACTCTTCTCAAGGTCCTGGTTTGTCTGCCACAAAAGAAGGCAACCTAAGAAAACAAGTTCTCATCATTCTCTACCTGTTTTTTAAATTCACATTAAAGGCTATGACAAACAAACTAGTGAACTTTATTGTAGATACCAAGATACCACCAGCTGTCTTCTCTGACAGAATGTACTGTGTCCTTTAAACAAATTCAGTCAAAGAAAACACAAATGTGTCAGCTGCTCCAGTTCAGACTGTAGTATCTTAATTCAAGACACCCTCCCATCAGTCACTTAAGCTAAGAATAGTTTTGAAGTAGACTGGCTGAGGTGTGTGCATTAACCCTCTTCTGCCAACCCACTAGAGACAGACAACAGTTCCAGGCAGTAAGATACAACACTACTACCACAAGATCCACCAGAGTTTGTCTATGAAAGCCCTAAAACTTTCTCAAATTTATTTGGTGTACTACTAAGTTGTATAAATCCTCAGTACACCAAGACAAAATCAAGCCAGATAGGTTACAAATGTGGTTTACTGTCTTTATTCCCACTGAAAACAGCTCACCAGAAGTGACACAGAAATGCATAATCTTCTGATATACGTGACTGCAAATCTCCAATTAAATAATTACATGCCAAAACAAATGAAATATATATATATACTTGCCTCTTGTTTAGTTACTTTTGCTGCATCCTTGCCTTCAGCACCCTCTGGAGACTGAAACAAAATATTAAATCAGTGTTTTTATTACAAACTTAAAAGCAGGCAGACAACAGCAAAATAAAGATTATGGTGAAGACTGACTGCTCTTTCATTTGCAACAACTTAAAGCAACCTGACAAATCTGCTTTTGTATGTACAAACAGCAGTTGGTACTCAAACCGGTCTCTTTACCAAAACCATCTGAGGACTGAGCACCAGATACATACATATCATATCACTTACCACCCCTCAGAGCTCCCATAGCCCATTAACTAAAGCACCCACAGGCTCCAGTGGAAGCTCCATCTCATCAGCTGTTGGTAGCAGAACAGTAGGAACTGGAAATCTGAGGTTTGCTCTATGATGGCTTTTGACATACCCAAGAAATTTAACACATTTTTTCCCAAACGTGAATTTAACCCGTTATGAGATGCAGTGAGATGAACCAAAAAACCACCGCATTACTGAAATGAATGATTTCTTTACCTCTTTTACTCCTTTTTCCTCTCAGCCTCACTCATATGGAAGTTTTAAAAGCCTCCTTACATCATATTTCACCTCCTCCATCAGAAGAGCATAAATCAGTAAAATACTGAGATATTGACAGGAAAGCTTGGGACAAACATGCATCTTCTCAAGAACAAAGTATCAACTTGAACGTTGTAAAACTAATCTTGCATAGGTACTAGAAAAAGGTTGGTTAAATTAAAGAAGGGAGGGCAGGTAAAAATCAAGCTTCTCTTTTGTTTACAACTCATGATGTGTAACTTCACATTTTGCAAACATTTGTGTTTCTAGGTAGGAGCAAGCAATACTTGGATAAAGAGCAAGCAGCAGCATTTAGAGGAGAACTACAAGAATGGCATATTTCAAAAAGGCACATTACAGGCAGCAGAGAAGGCAATTTGGTGGTTGTTTTGTTTTACAATCAGTAAGGAAATAGGCTAGTTATCTTTTCCGTTTTCTTTCTATTTCAATTTTAATTCAAACTTCCTCACAGATTTTGACACAAGATGTCTCAGAGTGAGAGAGCTGTGGTTTGGAGCAGAGAAAATGACCGGCTCGTCTGCAGCAGTTGACCAGTGCCTTCTCCTGGCACTGGGCTCTAACGTACTTAGAGAAAGACATCCCCCCACCAGGGAATAAAACATGGCTTTGTTACTGTGCACTCTCCCGACAGAAAGGAAGCATACCACAAGAGCAGCTGCTTTAAAAAAAAGCCGAGGACTGATCATGTAAGTAGCTTGAAAACAGCAGGAAGTTAAGCAGCATCGCACAGCGTAGAGCAACTCAGAATAGCAACAGGCAGGCATCCAAAATGGAGCCTCTCTGTTCCCTATGCAACTGCAGCCTCACCAGTCACCTGCAGGATTGTTCCAGGTTTGCATTTCTAAAAATCTCAGTTTGGTTACCAAGGAGTTACTACAGCTTCATGTTGTGACGCTGGGAGCATCAGAAGTCAGAAAGAAAACAAAAACAAGCTCTTCCATTATTCCTGTCAGTAACCAGGTCCTGTGTTCTACAACTTTCCTCTTCGACTCACAATACAGGATATGCTCTGGGTATAGCTTTTCTGTTGTCCATGAGTTCATAAGATGTTTCTCCCATATGAATTTTCTCAATCCTAACAAACTTGTGCTGTACCCTTTCCCCAAGAGGAACTCAAATAGCATCCTTCCTGTCCTGGGCAGAACCTACTTATATGGAAGTTCTCTAAGATTTTATAATCTTTTCCTAGCAGTGGTAAAGAGACTTTAGATTTACAGGGGTAGGGACAGAAAGATTGCATGATCCATTTCCTTTGGAAGCCAAGCTAAAAAGCTCTTCACAAACTAAATGAAGTTGACTGATACTCCACAATCAGGCTGTTTTACTCAGCTTCACCTTTAGGAATCATAGAGCTCTGACAGAGGGCTAAATTATCTCAAGATGGCACTGCCACTTGCCAACAACCTTGCAGGAATTGCACAAGAGCTAACTCTCCACCTGCAATACTGCACAGTTAACTCACAGTAATTTACCCCATTCTCTCTAACACTTATGAAAGAGGATTCTCCCGCATTTCTGATAGATAGGGCAATCTGATTTTAGATGCCAATACTACTGCTAGACAACAGATTAAAAAAACTGCTCATGAGGCTAACCACAGGGGGGGAAAAATAATATTAAAATATTCTTAATGCAACCACAACCTCTGTATACTAACTACTGTGATATATTACATAACATACTTCAATTAAGTCAGATAATTAATGAGCCCAGCACTGGGCTCTCCCAGCCTTCCCAAGTCAGAAAATCCAACAGCAACTCTGAAGACCACATAACTTTTCTCCATGGAGAATAATTGTAATTTCAGAGGTGTGAATAAGCAGTAAGGGGTTCTGACATGCTCTCATTTCCATTTCCGACCTGTTCCCTCCTCTCTGCAATCACTGCAAGTCCAGGCCTTTGGTGCCTGGGCTCATCCTCCCAGCCCTGGCTCCCCACTAGGCTGGCAGAGCTGCGTGGGAGGCCATGTCATGAGTAAGGTAATTGATCCAGCTGAAAAATAGCCTGCTGCTTAAACAAATGCATAAATATTCTAACATATAGACAAATTATAAATATATAGTCTTCCCTGCTCCAGCAGAATCGTTTTACTGCACAGCTGCACAAACAATTGAGTCAGTACAACAGACAAGAATGCAGTGGCACGGGGCAGCTGCAGGCAGCCTCGGACTCCATCTATTCTATGTATTGCAGCTGATAGACACATCCAAAAAATACACATGTCAGATATAGCTACAATGTATTTGTCAAAAGAGGAATAGAAACTTATTTTCCCCTTTCAGAGTTCTGATGAGTCCCAGCTGATGTGGCTCTTCATACCAGTTTTTGCAATACTTTCTCCTCTCCCCAGGGAAAAGAGAGATTTATACACAAATGGATTTGAGCCAAGCATAGTTCCCAAAGAACTTGGCATGCCACAAGCAGAGACTGTCTGCACTCCTATCTGGAGTCACAAGACTTTTATGTAGATATCACCAAAACCTTAAAGCCTTGCCCTTAACTCTTCCACAGGAACCCTTCCCCCATTTTTTGTCCTAGTGACAAACTACTGAAGAACCTCTGGTTTCAAAGCAACAAAATGTACTAAGTAAGCCCTCCCCTTGGCACATTTTTCCTCATGATCTAATGTGATGGCTTGCCATACTTCACATGACACCCCAGCCACATTAGAAAGCACCCTGGATACCGTGCTGTACATCCTAAACCAGTCAGAAGCAGGAATACCCACGCTGCAAGTTTTGTGCTGTAAAACCCAAGACCAGTACAAGCACTGAACCACTTGACAAGGGCAGCACTCCGGCCTCAGTAAGTCTTCAGCTGTACTCCATCATATGTCTATTATAAATATAAAGTAGTCCCTACAGGCCTGCTGTGTGTGATACTGTATGGACGCCTACAAGAGACAAAACATTTAAAAAGCAAATAAGGGCACAGACAACAGTCATTCCTTTTTCCTCGTGGAGGTACACACAAGGAAAGAAGATGACTGGCTATCTCTAAATATGATTCTGACATTTGAACTACAAGCAAGTTTTAGGTTCAGATGACCACACATTGTGTCACATCTCAATTAGCACTAAATACTGGCAATAAGATTGCAACTTAAGCTGTAGCTATGCTCTGCAAGATCTGTCACAGCTGCATAACTTTCCAACCATAAGACTGCCTAACAGCGACTGGCTTTTTTTTTTCCACTTGCTTTTACCACAGCTATTTTTAAGAGCAATCTAGAAAATTATTTTGAGTGGATTGGAGAAAACAAAGGAATATTAATAGATGGTAGACAATACTAAAAAACCCTTGAAGGAATATTAATTGATATTATTTGTATACACAGCTCTTTCACCAGCTGTGAAGTATACATAATAAGAACCAGTGCTTCTACACACCAAAGCAATACTGCAGTATCTGCAATGCCAACATCATTACAGAAGTGTTAGGTTGAAAAGAGAAAACGAGACAACTGTTTTAAGTAAACATTTAACAGAAAATACAGGTCAATTTCCTGGTTTTACTGTTCTTAAGGCAAGGCTACTTGGTACAGATGCACCACAAAAGAAACATAAAGCTTCATTTTTTTTACACCAAAACCCTGAAATATAAGCAGTATATGATGAGAATACAGTAGCCCAAAGCAGTGAAGATACTGATGTCTTTTGAGCAATCCAAAGATGTACATTTGAAATTGCAATGTCCAGCTTCTGGGTGAATATTTTGTTTGCACTATTATGAATGGATTTATTAAAAAGAAGTACATTAAAAAGACTGAAAAATGAGAATACAATTAGGTGAGAAGTAGCAGTCAGTAGAAGGTCGGTATAAAATTAAATAGATGGTTCATTCTCTAAAGGATTTTATTACAAGCCGAAACTCAACACCTTGGCTCTGACGGGAGAGAAATTAGTCCTTTCATACCCCCATGAAAACAAAACAAACAAAAAAAAGAAGATGCAAATTTCATTCTAACTACCACATGAAGAAGTTAGAAATTAGAAAGGCAGAAAGCCTTAACTGTGCTAGCACATGAGCATTCTGAATAGCATTTCCTCCCTTCTTTGCAAGCTGTTTGGTTCAGCCACATCTTGATACACTGCCTGCAAGGGGATTTGCCCATAGATTTCCTGGCTCACTCCTGCAGCTGCAATTTCCATGATGTAATGCTTTTGGTCGTTCCTCCTACAATCTTTTTCACCAACTAAAATAAGGTAAAAGCTTGGGGAAAAAAACCAGCACGTTGCAAGAGGAACAGATGTATCAAGTCTGAAGTCTTTTTCAGGGTTTGTTGCACTCTTTCTCTAAAATTTTTCTACTCCTCATTTGCTTTTAACTATGCATTAGACTAAATTTAATGCCTTGAATGGTTTCCCCATACATGCTATATCTTCTAATTATTTATCTTCAGAACAGCTCTGAATTTTGAGCCAGTTCATAAATGTAATTAAAATGCTCTTTATTTCTTGGTTTAG